GCAAACATTTCATTACCCAGCTAGGTAACTTTTAACCTACAGAGAGAAACATCCATGGAAGCCCATGATATGTAAAACACCGTAGCTGCCCCCCTCCCCCATAGGTCAAAACTCTGTGCTTTTCTCCTGGAGCGATATAAGTGTTGCTGGACTAGAAGTGAACGGATGTTTCCCAAGGCTCAGAGGACAAAGGGACCTTATACAAGGAGGAGGAGAATCTCTAGGTGCTGGGTTCATCCAGCTTATGTTTTTTCTATTATTTTGAGATATGCATTCATGCAAATTTTTCTCTCCATCTACCATCTAGATGAATTATTGGGACCTTTAGGAAACCTGATATTTAAAAATCTCTGTTTGGTCTTCAAGGAGCATTTCTGTTTCCATCCTGTCCATATCATCTTTCAGTCAGCATGTATTCTTGTTTTTCTATTTCTGATGAACTATTATCTTTATTTGGAGTTTGAAATTAAACAGATAATTTGCCCAACTTAGATCATAATGATATCTTGCATTTGTTGGTAACCCAAGGAAATATTTGACTTCTTGGATTTGATATCTTCATTTGTGGTAATAAATGCTCACTGAATTACAAAAAATGCTTGTGTGCCAACTGGGTTCATTTCATCAACATGGACTATTAGTCATCTTTAAAGCTTCCTTAATGAGTATCTACCAAAATGGTGTATAGAATCTGAACAATGCTTCTAATCTAAAAGCTAACACTCTAAGCTTGTTCAGGTACATCTTCAGCACATCGTACCTGAGGAACTTTATAAATGCACAGGACAGTTGCCATGTAGAGACAGATGTCAGGTCCCCCAATGACTGCAGCCAGAATGTTTGGGTCTCCACACTTGTAGTTAGGGACAAATCTGCCCTGGGTGAAGAGAAGCACCATTGAGGCAAGATAAGTCCAACTTGGACTGAAATTGCTATTATAAATGTGGAAGCCCAGGGTGATGTTGGGTAGGATCTGGGTATTTTCACTGATCTCTGTGAGAGCAAACACTAAGGCAATGATGTGTTGGTAACTCTGAAACAATATCCTGAAACAAAAATCACATAATTATTAAGAAGTGTCTGTTTCAGAATACGGCATCTTCAGTCTTTCAGTACTATAATATGTTGATATATTTTAGTGCAATATATTTACTGCTGATCTGGGATCCTGCAAAATGCAAAGAAAAATACTAGCACATATATAACACTCCAAAATTGGGGGTTGCTTGAATAGAAGACAGGCTTGAAGTTGGAAGCATTATTTCTTCAGGATCAAACCCCAGCTTTTAAAGCATGGCCTATATCCAGTAGAAAGCAGCTGCATTTTGTTACCATAAAGTCAACTGAAAAAAGGTAATCACAGATTTTAGTGGTAGTTACAACTTCATAAATTAATTTGTATCCTCATTCTATATTTAGAGATAATTGGATATGATTAGTATTAGTATTAATGGAGCTTGGGCCACTTTATGTGGAAACTGAAATGTAGCTTGAACTTCAATCAAGGCATCCTGTTTTTAAGAGGGATGTTTCAGGCACTTTTTTTATTATACCTTTCAGGAAATTATTTTGAGCATCATGTGATTGAACAGCAAGGTACAGAGCTTGATTATAAATGAAAGATGTACTTACATAAGTCCATCTTGAAGTTCCTCAGAAGGATGTTGACTGAAAGAAATGGGATCAGAAAATGTTGAGAATACAGAAATAATGCCAGCAATGTTAACATCTCCAAGCTGATGATATGTGTGACGAATAGGAAGAGGCTCATAAAAGTCACATTGAACAGTAGGATCTTGGCATGCCACTTGAGGCATTACTGTCAACAATGACACCACAAATACAGTACTAACATCTTCCATGAATGTCTTCTTCCTGTATACAAATGCCTCTGTCTGCAGCAACATCCTTGAAGTAGGTCAGACTGGCCTGACTTCTTGAGATGTTTTTCAGACAAAAAAGAGACAGTGCAACATAGTATCAAATCAACTCCCAGAGCTTTGGGGCTGCCAGCCATAAGCTGGAATATCACGGGGAGCATTAATAGCATCCTTCAGGGTCAGTTCCTCCTTTTTCCTTGGAGTCCCATAGGATTTGGAGAAGACAAACTGGCTAATTTCATAATGATAGTGAGATGGTCACCTATGGAAATATTTTCAGTGTTCACAACTCCAAAGAAAACATGCGAGATCCTCCTGAGGGAGGAAGGCATGAGTCACAAGACAACCAATGAAAGTCATTATATTCACAGATCAAGATACAAATTGATGTGTGTGTGTGTGTATGTATGTGTGTGCATGTATATACATACATATACATACACACACACACATACATATATACACATCTATATATAGGCATTGATATAGTTAGATAATATAGGTAGATTTTATTCATTTTATTTTTATTTTTTAATTTATATTTAATTTATTATTTTATTTTTTGGTGCCTTGAGTCAGTGCTGACTCCTGACAACTACCTGAATGAATCCCTGCAGTTTTCTTGGCAAGATTTTGGGAAAGGGTTTCCATTGCCTTATTCGTAGGGCAGAGACTGAGTAACTAGAGCAAAGTCACTGAGGTTTGTGCCCAAATCTGGACTAAGACCTCATGGTCTCGATAGATAGCTTGAGAGCGAGAGAGCGAGAGAGAGAGAGAGAGAGAGAGAGAGAAGAGAGAGAGCAGAGAGATACAGCAGAGAGCAGAGGTGGAGAAGGAGGAGAAGGTGAAGGAGAAGCAGATGCACATGTAGAGACAGATACGTAAGTGCTTGCACATAAACAAAGAGGCAAACAAATAAAGAAATTAGTTAATACTTTTTGTATAATAAAATTAAAGTCTTTAGCATTATATCTCACATCTCATGATTTCATGCAGTATTCTTGGCAACAACTTTATAGTTGTTCAAATGGTTCCTGGACTATTTTAAGACCAACATATAGAGTTTGAACAAACATGGTTCAACACCTTACATTTGACCAGAAAATAATCATTGTGAATATTTCTTTATTTCAAACTAGATATATTTAATGATTGCTTATTACATAAGTAATGATCCACTTAATAGGAAAAATACATGCTAGAATTATATGTTTGGAAACATGACTATTGAAAGCCATTGTCTTCTAGATCACCACAGTTGGATGAAAGATGGGCATGGATTGGCTGGGAAGACATGAGAATTAAGACCTTTGGATCAAAACTCAAAAGGCATATTTTATTATATGAATAACATGGAATATTGCTGTCTGAGGATAACATCCACAGATTAGAAGGAAACCATTTGTCCCAGTATGTGTCAGGCCTAGCCCAAGGAACTCCAGGAGACCACGCAGATTCAGTTCAGCAATGTTTAT